AAATTACATATTGTACATTTAAATTAGCAAAAGCAAAAACAGTACCTAGAAAGTTTGACCTCTAGATCAATATTAATATGGAAAAATCAACACATTGGAGTTGGCTGTGAGCTTGTTGTTGGATTTCTACTGTATCTCATAAAGAGATAAAAAACAGAGCTAAAATAGGAAGTATGTTTCATCTGTAATTTGAGCTGAAGCTGAATAAAGTCATTGGGTACCGTTCTGTATGAGTTCCTCCAGGTTGTCCGGGTTACGAGCCAGGTGGAAGATGAGCGTAGCCCCTCTGATCTTCTCCTGAACGTCCTCGTACAGCAGCTCCACATACTCATCGATGCTGTTGATGCTCGCCTCCTCGTCCAGCTGAGGGGAGATAAGAGTTCAGAACGGCGAGCTGCGGACGCGTACACAAACACAAAACACACACTCGGTTCCTACCTCCACTCCGGCGTACGGTGTGAAGTCTCGAGGTGAGATGCGTTTCTTCTCTTGGTTGTCTGTGAAAGGAAACATTCAGCATCACAAAGACTTCCACCTTTTACTCTGAGGTGTTTAAAGTAGTCACGATTAACTCTTCGGTACCGTTTGAATGTTTGCGGTTTTGCAAATAGAAGAGCAGCTGCTCCACCTCGCGGAGCTTTGACGGGTGAATCAGCCGACATTCCTCCACGACCTTCCGAGCCAGAGAGGACGTGTCCGTGTGGGCGTTCAAGCTTTTCAGGCGAATCCTGAAAGGAGCGCGAACGTAAAGAAAACAGAAATTATAGCAGGTAAAATGACATCTGGGTTCAGATAGAACGAATAAAATATCAGGATACACAAATGGAAAGCATTTCTTGCACTTATATAATTATAAAACAAATAAAATAGAACAATTCTCACATTTTCTGACACTCCTTGCGTTCTCCAACCACCGGATCCCCCAGCTCGCCCAAGATGGTGGCCTCCACCTCATACTGAACCACGAGGGCTTTCTCAGTCGGGTGGACATCCAGAGAGCAGCTCTTCACTCTCCTGCGGGTCAGACAGAGTCAACGTTTCATTTATTTATAGCAAATCAGTGGTTCTCAAACTGTCAATGCCCCCCTCCTCCTTCAATAGCCAAACAAAGCTGACACCACCAAACACACAATTTTCAGAAATTACTGGCAACGGATTCAAGTTGAATTTTAATTTAAGAAAACTCTTTTTTGTTAATTAATTGAACAATTGTTGAAATCATGTAAATGTGTGACAAACAGCATTGTAATGAAGTTCTGTAGAGTTTGTTTGGCCCCCAAATATTTCACATCATTGTAAATTCGTGATGCTAAAATGATCATTTCCACACTAATCATATATCATATGTCATTATGATGTTTTTACAATATCATGCAACCCTAGCAGGAACCAACATTTTAGTGATTTATTTAAAAACATCATATTGATTATTTTGATGGATATTACGACTGCGATATAATTCACAGTTAGTGTAAATAATAATTTTTGCTATCACAATTTAAATTTTCTTTAAAAACAACTATTGTAAAAATGTTTTTTTACATCTGGAGAACAATATTAGTACTTTCACTGTCACATTTTACCTTCATCCAAACAATGCAGCTTCTTTCCATTTAAATACTGCTAATTCAATAATATTGCAATTAATTGTGCAGCTCTGGATTATATATACTAATTAACAATGTGTGTTTTTAAATTATTTGATTTCATTTTCTGTTTTGTTTTTGTGTTTAATGTGTATTTGTACATTAATGTGTCTGCTGTTTTATGACAGATTAAAACCTCAAACACCAACAGCAACAGTGTGTCTGTATATTTCTATCATTAAACATTAAAAACATAACATATATAACTAATATCAGTGTAAACTGTCATCAACAGGACAGTGAGGCTTTATTGATCAGTTATTAGTTCCCACATTCACTTTACCAGAGCTAACGGTTACAGTAATATTACTGATATAAAAACACATTATTGTGATTGTGGTAGCACAGTTAGCCTGTTAGCAGCCATTCATTTACAGTTTTTCTCCATTGGTTTGGCTCATTTCTCCAAACAGAAACTACATTCTTAAAACTCTAAGATCATTTGGCAAAACAGTCTTACAGTTCAGCACAACCATAGCTCACCATACTCTCTCCCAAAACAGTCTGTCACTCATGGTGGTCAAAACCTAAATTTCTTATCTTCATATAAATAGCCCAGTACGCCTGCCAAAATGCATCGGGTCCTTCCTGGACATTGGTGTGAGCACTTGCAAGTCAAAAATGTTTGTAGGATGTTTTGTCACTAAATGGCACGAGGACCAGATCCCTCCAAATGTCCACCTCTCAAGTCTTAGCCCCAGTCCTTCCATGTCACAATGTTACTGTAACTATGGTCTTTTGTTGTCTAGCTAAGCAGAACTACAATTGTGTATAAACTCGAAAAAAAAACAAAAAAAAAACCAGGATTCTTAGGGTAAGAGTAGGCCCTCTAACACAGGTGTTGAACATCACAGCATAGAAGTAAAGCCTCCATATCGAAGCCAAGTAATAATGATCTGTAGCCTACAGTAAATAAATACAGTCATACCTGGTACTCTCATGGTATTATGTTGATATGATGTATGTTCGAACATAATTTTGACTCAATTGAACAGATTATTTAGCATGCGGTGCTGACTTATAGAATGAAATGATGCTGACAGTGTTTTGGAGAGCCGAACCACCATGCAGACTGAGAAATCAAATCAATCAGTTTAGATCAACAGGATCTATTCACTTGGAAATGGTGCTAATGTAGGCTAACTGTACTTAATCATTTGCAAACTGAAGCCTGTACTAATACCCCCATTATGGCAATGTGTGCACTGAAATCAATGAGAAATACAATTCTGTTGTGAATCAATGCCAGTAGCTCCTTGGAGGTTTGTCCGTGGTTGTTTTGGAGAATGTAATTTGTTGTTTGGAAGAAATGAGTCCAAACCCAAATGGGAGACCCAAACTGTACTTGAGCTTCAGCTGCTGTGAATGAGCAGCTATGTGCTAACAGCTTGAATGGCCTACAAAAAACAAACAACTAAACAATCCAATCCAGCCTGTTACCGCGCTCTCAGATACGCGCGGCTCTCTGACTGGTACGCGTCCATCACATCAGAACCGCACTTTGCAGAAGCCGCGCCGCATCAGACACGCGGGCATGCCAGAAACCGCAGCAGGATGTTATTTATGGCTCGCAGCAGGCGCGTTGCGAGGGGCGGCGGCGTCCGGACCACCAACTCCACGCAGCAATGCAGGTGGGAGGAGAGTTAGCCAGTGGCTGCCGCCCTGGTGGTCGTGGAGGACCCACGGCTCGGCTGGCAGTCCAGTGGTTGCAACCCCTCCACCTGCACTGGCTGATACACGACTGAGAGTAGCATCGGACATGAACAGACGAAACAAAGAGTCAAGTAGAGGTAAGGGTCAGGTGGAGAACCTGGAGTTAAGACTGACTGAGTGACATACTTTATATACTATAGTTGAATCTTCAAAGTGAATATCCGAAAATAACAGTAAAGAAGAAAGCAGCTGATAAGATAGTGATACGGAATAGATTAGATAGAGTAGATAGATAGACTAGATAGATACGATAGGATAGATAGAGTAGACCTAGGATAGACTTATTTATCCCCGCCAAAAAAAAGGAAAATTCATGGTAATTTCATCCAATTAAAAACATACATTAAAACTAAATTAAAGAACCCTAACCCTTTAAGAATAGAATTAAAATACAAAATAAATATATACATAATATAATATATACATTATTACATGCGCGAAGGCATACCCACGATCTCTTCTGTTTATAAAATTCAGCCGTGTTATCGTCCTCCATTGTTCCTGTGGGTGGCAGGGGCAGGACGAAAGCCTGCGTGCAAACCAGGTTCCCCTCCATGGTCAGATTTTGAGCGCGTCAGACACTTTTAATTTCTGCATTTTGGTGAGATTTTAATGTACTTTTTTGGTTTCAAAAATACATCGATTTTTTTCCAAAAGGCCCCCTCCTGCTCAAAACTCTGGCAATATAACATATACAAGGAACTTTAAAGCTGGGGCAAAACAGCAATGACCAGGCCCCCTTCGGCGCTGGCAGGCTGCTTTAATTCACCGCCAGGTTGTATCATGTGATCCCAGACCTCATAATTCATCACACAAAGGCTTGAGCTTCCTGTTGCCAGTAGGGGTCCACTTATGATCGGATATTCCTGAATATTATACACAATAGAGCGTGTCAC